TGAGGTGGCTCCCACTTCCCAACCACCTCCTGGCTGTGTTCCCATTGCCCAGCTGTCCTCCTCCTGCATCCATTGGCAAAGGAAGATGAATTCTCAAGAGCTTTTTAAAGCTCTTCCACCTACTCCGCTGATTTAGTAGGAGGGAGAATGAATGTTTCCAAGTTCTCTGAATGACACAAAGCTCACAAAGTATAACGAAATTAGTTGAAAAATAGCAAAATGAGTTTAGCTCCCCCTTCAAAAAAAAAAAAAGGAAAGCATGCCTACTTTCAATGATTCACAATGACTTCACAATTTTTCCTCCACTAGGATATGTATTCTTCCTCCCAAAGCTAATGGTTCTCTCTCCTCCCCCTCCCTAAGACAGTGTAGGGCCAGATCTCCAGAAACCTCTTCTATCTGATTTGAGACCCCCTGAAAAAATCTTGACGAAGCCCAGGGTACCCCATGCCAGAGGGTCCTTCCCCACTAGGGTCTTTGCATTTGCTGTTCTCTCTGCCTGCAAAGCTCTCCCCCTTTTTCTCACCAGGGAAAGAGAGCGTTCTCACTTTTGAGAGCTCAGATCAAATATGCTTTTTCACTGGGGCCAGCCCAGACTCCCTAACCTTACTCTCGCCAGCAAAAGCCGCTTTCCTTGTAGACCCTCTCACAATCTGTAATTATCTTATTTATCCATATTTCCCTTTAGGCGGTAAGAATCTTGCCCAACTTGTTTACTGCTGTACCCCCAGCAACACAACACATAGCAAGTACTCAGTAAAATGTTGCTGAGTGGGTGGGCGGGTAAACAAGGAGGAGGCGGCAGGCCGCTGGGAACAGGCCTAAGAGCCCTTTAAAGATGCCCCGTGGCATCTTCATCATGGCATGAAGCATGGGCAGGACTTCACCATGGCCTCTCTTGGGTCTCTTGGTTTCTCTTGCCTTGATTCTTCTCAAGTCTGTTGCTACTTAGATACTGGTTCCACCACCATATACCCCCAGTTCCACCCCAATTGTTCAGACTTGGGTATTTCCCAGGAAACCTAGTTCCCATGTTTGGCTTCTCTTACTCTGCTTCCATTCAGCCATCCTCAGCTTGAAAAATTCAGACATCCACAGGGATGTCTGACCTTTTATGACTTCAAGACCTTCAAGACTCTAACCCAAGCCCACCCCTCGAACCATATCTCCAATACCCCATTTCGCCCTCCATCACCACCAATGAGCTCATGGCTCAGCTCTCTGGATCCCATGCCTAAACCTTTGCTCAGGTCTCTACTGCTTAAAACATCTTTCTGCTACCTCATTACCTGGTACCTTCCTTCCACCCCTTAAGTCATCCCTCACCACCACCACCACCCCACCCCCAGGCTAGAACTGATACCCTTTCCCTCTGCCCCATAGTCATATTTGCCCTCAACATCTGGAAATTATCTTTAATCTCTTTGTTTGCCCCAAATGACTGCTCCTTGATGGTTGGGACCCATCCAATTCATCCCTGTTGGCCCAGAGCCTGGCACATAGTAGGCACTCAATAAACACACACTGAACTAAACTATCTTGTTTGCTCCTTGACAATTCCCATTTCCAAAGTGACTCTTTGCAGAATATTAATACTCAGTACAAGTAACAGAACTATTGTTATTATGCATGCTTACTTAAGCCAACTGATAAGAAATAGCTGGGGTGGTAGTTTCACCATCATCATCATCAAACTGAAGACCTGAATGCTAACAGGCAGAAAGGTATGGTACAAAGAGTACTGGTTCTGGGTTCAAGTCCAGACTAGGGTGCTTGCCAGCAGTATAATTATGGGCATGACACCTTCCTTCTCTGGCCCTAAGTCTCTTCCTCTGTAAGATAAAAGGCCCAGTCAGACACGAATGGTCACGTACCATATGATTCCATTTACATGAAATGTCCAGAATAGATAAATCCGTAGAGACAGAAAGTAGATTGTTGGTTGTCAGGGAAAGGGGTAGAGGGGAATGGAGTGAAAATGCTAAATGGAGCGTCTTTTTGGGGTGACAAAAATGTTCTGGAATTAGTAGTGATGGTTGCAAACCTTTGTGAATATACTAAAAAAAAATGTCTACTTAAATGGTTAAAACAATGAATTTTGTGTTATGTGAATTTTATCTGAATAAAAGAAAGAAAGGGCTAGACTAGAACAGAGGTTGAAAATTGGAGGTCCAGCAGGCCACACCAGGCCCATGGCATGTTCTTTAGACCTAAACAAAGTTTCCAATATGTTAT